GGTAGATGAGGGCAGTTGATTCAATAGTGCAGGATTGATTTGTCTAAATCTTCATAAGAGCTTACTGTTTGAATGACTGGATTCGATGAGAACAACTTGGATGAAGTATCTAAATCCAGTTCTAAAAAACAACATACAATCCAAATCCAGTTCCAAAGTCTTGAGTATCAAAAGACGATTTGGTGAGTCAAAGACAAAAAGAGAGGTTGAATTGCGATTCCAGTGAACTTTTTGGTATCAGCGATAACTCGAGGTCTGGACATACAGAATGAGTATGCCAACAGAAGTCCGGTGTCACGACTAGAGTATATGAGTTAACCCGAGATGAACCGAGGACTGGGCATACCTTTTAAGTAGCCAACTGAAGACCAGTGATTAGGGCGTTGCACAAAAGTCAATATTTTCTTATTTCAATTCTTGTAACTATCTTCAATCATTGTAGATGTCGTAGGTCACCAGTATAGAAATATGTAAATAATTAAAAAGATATTTCTATGTGTTATAAAAAAGTATTAAAAATTATGATTTCAAAACTATAAAAATGTCATGACCTGATAATGGTTTTTATCAAAAACACATAGCCTCTTTTGATACACCAACCATACCTTGACATTTTAGAATTGGCTGAATTTTTTTTGTAGATATCTATATATAAAAATGGAGTTCTCTCAAATGTCTTAGTAAAACTCGAAAACGGCTAAACCGATTTGGCCAGTCTTAGCCTTGAAAAATTCGTGCCAATCCAGAGAAAGTCCAAAAGGTGAGAAAATATTTCAAATCCGCTTAGAAACTTTACATTTTTAATTTGAAAATTTTTGGTAAATAGCACTTGATTCAAAATGGCTTCCCACACAATATTATTCAAATGACAGATGAATACTACTCATATGTCAAAACAAAGTTAAAACAGATTATGTGTTATTTTTTTAATTTTATATATTTTTAAATGTTAATAAGTGTGCTTATTTTGATTTATATGAGGTTTGTATTTAAATCTCAAGTGTTTGCTCACTGCCTTTTTGTATTCTTTTATCAAAAGCTTGAAATAATACATTCTTATTGATTAAGGCTTGCTTATGAAAGAATGAATAAATAATTTTGTTTCAAACGCTGTGCTGTGCAAGTACATATTGGTTTAATGTGAATAATGTGTTACCAAAACATTTTCTGAAATATATTATTATTGCATTTAGGTTATTCAAATTAAAATCCTAATTTGGAATTCATCGAAGGGGCCCCTTCGAATATGGTGTCCGGACACCATAGACATTTCTGTCTAATCACTTATTGCAAGTTATAATAGACAGCGATATGAATAAGAAAATTGGATTATAACACAGATAGTAATTTTAGAAATTATTTTCATAAAAATCTCAATTATGTGTACATGCAAGTACAAGATCTTTGGAAACAAAGTTGTTTGACAATTGCTTATAAAGCTCACATTATGTTATGTGACATCCACATAAGTACAGTTTAAATAAATATGGAAGTAATCATTTCGAATATATACAGTACAATCTATTATATTTACAATACAAGTTTTTCATTGCAATACTAGAATGAGTTTTGTAGTTATATGGTCCATGATATTTATATTTTTCGGGTTTGACAAATGTCACAGTTCACACAAGGATGGAAAGTATCAGCAGTACGAATTTGCGTTTATTACATAGGCAATCTACGCATAGAAGGAAGTTTTTCCAGCATTCCAATTAGCAATGAAAAAATTAAAAAAGTTAAACATATTCCACATGGTAATAATAAAATTTTTACAAATTTTTTCTTATATTGTTCAGATACAAATGCTGTTATTGATCGGGTCTTTTTCAATTACTTTTCGAGCATACTATATACAAGTCAGGGTGATAACAAAGATGCCAGTTATTTGGATACGCGGTTGCAAAAAAGGAAAATCAAAATAAACTCATTGAAATTTATTAACTTCCCGAAGGTAAGTTTTATGTTTTCTCGACGTTTCAAGCCATTCTGAATCGAATGAGACCAAATTTGGAATAGTATGCGTGCGTGTGTATGTGGGTGTGTATGTGTGTGTGTGCGTGTATGTGAACAGATTTTTTGCCGTAAATCGACGTTTTCTCAAAAACGGCTGGACCGATTTCAAAAATTTAAAATCCACTCGAAGTATCTCGATGAGAACTATCGTTTAACAATTTTGTGCGACGATCGGCCAAGCCGTTTCTTTATAAATCGCAGAGAAGTGAAAAATTTTTTGTCTACGTTTTAGCCCGCAATTCTGAATCGATTTTGAATATTCAAAAACCGTTCGAAAGATATTGGTTGGGAATCGTGCTGATTAGTTTTTGGTAGAGATCGGCCGGCCGGGCCTTTTCTTGTAATAAAATTAAAAAAAAAATCGACGATTTTTATGATTATTAACTTCCCGTAGGGTAAGTTATTGTAATGGGCGGAAAATTCGAATTGAAATTTTTTACATTTCTCGACGTTTTGAAGGTTTTTGAACATTTCGGCATACCTCAGAAAAAATGGATGTGTGTGTGTATGTATGTATGGATACAAATTTCCAGTCACGTTTTCGGGCGCACGGATCAACCGATTTGAATGGTTCAAAAAACATTCGATTCCTATCGATAGGGAAAAGAGCTGATTAGTTTTTGGCAAAGGCAGATCCAGCCGTTTCGAATATATGCAGCAAAGAGTGCGGAAAATAGAAATCGACTTTTTGAGAGAACGGAGTATCCGATTTGAATTTTAGTATCAAGTTGGTGACATACATTTTACATAAATGTCGTGTTATAAATTTTAAGCAACGAATTTTTTACTAATTATTTGTTTTAAAGTTTTTAACATTTTATTTAATTTAGTAGAATTTTTTAATATATTTTAAGAATTAGAACAAGAAACAAGCTGAAAAAAATTAAAGTTTTGAGGAAAATTATGTTTAAATTACACATTATGATTATGTGTTACTTTGATTATCATTTAATCTTTTTATTACTTTCTTATGTGCATCATATTTTCTTATAATCAATTTTTTCTATGTGTTTGCGTTATTTTTTAAGTTATCTGTTTCATACATTTTTTTAAGCTTATGTTAGTAATAAGTTAAATTTGAATGCAACGGTCATCAGTGCGAACATTGATGTATGAAGTAGACTATGATATAAGTAATATTGGTTGATTAGTTAACATAAGGATTAATGCTTTGTTTGATTACTCTCTTTTATCTATGGTTTGAAGCTTAATGCCGAATCAAAGTTATTGTGAAAGATAGTGAGAATACAGAGTTATTGAAGAAGTGTAGTGTTTTAGTGTGATTTAGGAGAATCACAAACTCGAATACAGAGTTATTGAAGAAGTATAGTATTTTAGTGTGATTTAGGAGAATCACAAACTCGAATACAGAGTTACTTAAGAACTATAGTGTTTTAGTGTGATTTAGGAGAACACAAACCCTATATACAGTAGTATATCTATACTATATAAATCTGATACCAGCTGTACACGATGCCGAGAAGAAATAGACCTGACATTGGTCGTCGAAGTCGATTAACACGCCTAAAACGTGCAGCGACACTAGGTCTCCTACTATTGAGAAATAGTAGTAAAGAGCTACACTAGCTTCCACACTATTAGGGATCCTAATGTGTGGAGGGGGTTAGGCTACCAGGTATATAACGAAAGCAGCTACCATTCTCGCTCTCTTTTATCCTCTACAGGTCGAGCAGTCAACACCTGGAAAAACTAGGAAGTCCAACCAAAGAATACCCAAGAAGACTTTGTAAATTATTATATTTATTTTGTAATAAACTTTATTTTTCATTTATAATTGTAGTGTCTTGATTTTTATATGTGGGACCACCCCACATAATTGGTGACCCCGACGCTGAATTGGACCACATAGCGTGTGAACTAAACTACCATAGTGGACTATCCGCACAGAGGACAAGAAAATACAAGTAATGAATAAAAACATGCAGGATTCTAAAGGTGAACTGGATGCAATCTCACGCACTCCGCATCTACCGCCATTTTTGAGTGAGAAACCAACATTGTGGTTCACAATAGTCGATGCAATATTTTCTCGATGCCGCATCATCAATGACCTGGCTAAATATGAATATGTAATAGCTTACTTAGAATGCAAATATTTACTCCAAGTAGAAGACGTAATAAACTCTCCGCCTGCAGAGAATAAATACATAAAACTAAAGGAGGAATTAATCAAAAGGCTATCAATTTCCGAACAGCAAAGGATAAGACAATTACTTCTGCAAGAAGAACTTGGTGATCGAAGTCCTTCTCAGTTCCTACGTCACCTTCGTTCGTTGGTCGGAACAATACAGTCGACAATTCACTCCTACGAGAAATCTGGATTCAACGACTACCGGTACAGACTCAACAAATATTGCAAACCCAGATCAATGCAGACCTAGAAGAACTTGCATCGCTCGCCGACAAAATATGTGAGATTGCACAACCACAAACCAGTAATTCCAGAAACTAGTAACAACCAACAGCAAGACACCATACAAATACTAATTGATAAAAATGATCCACTAACACAGCGTGTGGAAGATCTTACAGAGCAATTAGCCAAGTTCACCTATCGTAGCACACTCAACCTATCAGCAAAGTGCTTCTAGATCGCGCAACCGAAATACATTATGTTGGTACCACGCCAAATTCGGAAAGAAAGCAGGAAAATGCGAGAGTCATTGTTCGTTCAGAGAGAAAAACTCCAACGGCAAGGAGTGATGGAGACCAATCCTTGCTCTTCATCAAGCCGTCGCCTCTTCATAAGTGATCGCAAAACTAAGGTACAGTTTTTGGTCGACACAGGTTCAGACATTTGCGTGTATCCAAGGCGCTTAACTGCTAAACTTAATCCACAACTAAACTATACTTTGTCTGCAGCCAATGGAACCAACATACGCACGTACGGGGATATTATTTTACAATTAGATTTTGGACTAAGAAGAAATTTTACTTGAAGATTCATCGTAGCAGACGTAACAATGCCTATACTTGGAGCAGACTTTTTGGCGTACTACAATATCATTATCGATATAAAGAATTCTCGTCTACATGACAACCTGACATCACTGTCATCTCCAGGATGTGTCACATTCTCTCGGATACAAAGTGTCAAGTCTATATTTGGAGATAGTGCATACAATAAATTATTAGCTGATTTTCTATCCATCACCAGACCATCAAGCTTGAGTCAAGAAAGCACACACAAAACATTTCATTATATCAGAACCACTCCAGGACCTCCAGTTTCTTCTAGACCACGGCGCCTCAAGCCAGAATTACTTCGCGTAGCTAAAGAAGAATTTAAGAATATGGTAGAATTAGGCATTGCAAGACCCTCCGATAGTTCTTGGTCTTCACCTCTACATCTGAAAGAGGATTCGACGTGGCGTCCATGCGGAGATTATCGGCTGCGCAACTCACGCACAATTCCAGACAAATATCCTATTTGTCATATGCTGTCTACGCCCATAATTTAACTGGATGTACTATATTTTCAGTGATCGACTTAGTGAAAGCCTGAAAGACCACGGCGTTGTCATAAATCCAGCGAAATGCTTATTAGGTGCACCCAAAGTTACATTTCTTCGTTATGAAATTTCTAAAGATGGAACTTTGCCACCACCAGACCGTATCAACGATCTCCAAGAATGTCCGCTACCGGCAACCTACTCAAAGCTGCGACGCTTCATATGAATGATTAATTATTATCGAAGGTTTATTCCTCACAGCTGAATTTCTTGCTCCGCTACACAAGCTGCTCTCAGGATCTACCAAATCTGGATCACAACCAATTTCTTGGACCCCACAGCTTCAAGATAACTTTGAGACTTGTAAGAAAGAATTGGCTAAAGCAACATTACTAGCACACCCTGTTCCAAATGCTCAAATAGCATTATTTAGCGATGTATCCAACCATTCTATCGGTGCAGTATTACAGCAGTACATCAATGGCACTTGGCAACCTTTGGGCTTCTTTTCAAAAAAACTATCTGGGAAACAACAACTTTGGCCAGCATATTATCTACAACTTTTGGCTGGATACAAAGCAGTGCAAGATTTTCGAAGCTTACTGGAAGGCAGACATTTCATTTGGTTTACTGACCACAAACCTTTAATTCACGCCTTTTCGCAACGAAAAGACAAGCTGCCGCCAATACAATTAAATCAATTAAGTTTCTTGTCACAGTTTACAACAGATGTTCGCTATGTTAGTGGACAACAAAACATTGTAGCCGACGCTTTCTCAAGAGCAGAAGCCATAACATCGCCTTTGGATCACTCCGTTATTGCTAAATCGCAAGACGAAGATGAAGAACTTGTAACGCTCTCAAAATCAGATATTGCTCTCAACCTGAAACGCATCGCTATTCCAGGAACCAAAGAACAATTATATTGCGACATACCTCAAAATCGATTACGTCCTTATGTTCCTGCTGAACAAAGACGCCACATTTTTAATACTATGCACAATCTATCTCATCCAGGTATAAAAACCACAACTAAACTCATCACGGATAGATTTGTTTGGCCTGTCATTCGCAAGGATTGTAGAACCTGGGCTCGAAGCTGCATCTCATGTCAACGCTCCAAAATTGTTCGGCATATAGTCACACCACTTGGAGAGTTCAAAGTGCCATCCGCCAGATTTTTGCATGTTCACATTGACATTGTCGGACCACTTCCACAATCAAAAGGTTTCAAATACCTATTTACCGCTATAGACCGTTACACACGTTGGCTTGAAGTTTTTCCTCTATCAGATATTACTGCAGAAAGTGTAACCTGGGCTTTCTTGTATTCTTGGATTTCACGCTTTGGTGTTCCATCTCAAGTAACAAGCGACCAAGGACGGCAATTCTGTTCAGCTGTTTTTCAAGGCGTAACCAAACTACTAGGAATTTCCCACACTCCTACTACAGCATATCACCCGCAATCGAATGGATTGATTGAAAATGCACACAGGCCACTGAAAACAGCCCTCATGTGCCATGCAGACCCGTCATGGATGGATTCTCTACCAATTATTTTATTAGGAATTCGAGCTTCTGTTAAGAAGACATTAAAAGCAGCAGCGCCAAATTAGTCAACACCTGGAAAAACTAGGAAGTCCAACCGAAGAATACCCAAGAAGACTGTGTAAATTATATTTATTTTGTAATAAACTTTATTTTTCATTTATAATTGTAGTGCCTTGATTTTTATATGTGGGACCACCCCACAAACGTAATTCGCGTAATAACCGCACTGATGGGCAGATGGAGACTGATAATAATGATAGCCAGATTCCAATCAGTTCAATTTTTACTCAGTCTGCAAGCAGATATTGAACAGTAATTTTCATTATTTAATTTTAAAAATATTTCTTATAAAATGTCTAAAACGAAAGAAGAAATCAACAAAAAACTGAACAAAGTTGAAAGAAGTCTTGAGAACATTTTTAACGAAATGCAAGAATTCAGGGAACTTTTAAACAATTTGGAGACAAATGAAGATGAACAATTTTTAAAAGTTCATAATAATCCATCATATGTTGATAGAAGAAGTTCTCAAAGACATCGGGACAACGTCAGAAACACTATATATTTTGATAAATGTAAGAATGAAGATGATGTTTAACATATTGATTTAAATTATTTAAATTAAATCAGACATTTTAGTAGAAAGATTGTGATATATTACTGTGTACACCAAATATGTATTAAAGATATGAAAAATGTGAAAAATTTCTTACATAAGTAATTATAAATAATTTTCTACAATTTAAATGCATATAAAATATTAAGTTTAGTTTGATACTAGCGTTACAAATATGTATATAATAATTTTCAAGATAATTTTTAATATAACTACTTCAGTTTCCAAAAATGTAATTACTTAACAATACTAGCAATTTTATATTTAATTGGTGACCCCGACGCTGGATTGGACCACATAGCGTGTGAACTGAACTACCATAGTGGACTATCCGCACAGAGGACAAGAAAATACAAGTAATGAATAAAAACATGCAGGACTCTAAAGGTGAACAGGATGCAATCTAACGCACTCCGCATCTACCGCCATTTTTGAGTGAGAAACCAACATTGTGGTTCACAATAGTCGATGCAATATTTTCTCGATGCCGCATCATCAATGACCTGGCTAAATATGAATATGCAATAGCTCACTTAGAATGCAAATATTTACTCCAAGTAGAAGACGTAATAAACTCTCCGCCTGCAGAGAATAAATACATAAAACTAAAGGAGGAATTAATCAAAAGGCTATCAATTTCCGAACGGCAAAGGATAAGACAATTACTTCTGCAAGAAGAACTTGGTGATCGAAGTCCTTCTCAGTTCCTACGTCACCTTCGTTCGTTGGTCGGAACAATACAGTCGACAATTCACTCCTACGAGAAATCTGGATTCAACGACTACCGGTACAGACTCAACAAATATTGCAAACCCAGATCAATGCAGACCTAGAAGAACTTGCATCGCTCGCCGACAAAATATGTGAGATTGCACAACCGCCAGTAATTCCAACAACTAGTAACAACCAACAGCAAGACACCATACAAATACTAATTGATAAAAATGATCCACTAACACAGCGTGTGGAAGATCTTACAGAGCAATTAGCCAAGTTTACCTATCGTAGCACACTCAACCTATCAGCAAAGTGCTTCTAGATCGCGCAACCGAAATACATTATGTTGGTACCACGCCAAATTCGGAAAGAAAGCAAGAAAATGCGAGAGTCATTGTTCGTTCAGAGAGAAAAACTCCAACGGCAAGGAGTGATGGCGACCAATCCTTGCTCTTCATCAAGCCGTCGCCTCTTCATAAGTGATCGCAGAACTAAGGTACAGTTTTTGGTCGACACAGGTGCAGACATTTGCGTGTATCCAAGGCGCTTAACTGCTAAACTTAATCCACAACTAAACTATACTTTGTCTGCAGCCAATGGAACCAACATACGCACGTACGGGGATATTATTTTACAATTAGATTTTGGACTAAGAAGAAATTTTACTTGGAGATTCATCGTAGCAGACGTAACAATGCCTATACTTGGAGCAGACTTTTTGGCGTACTACAATATCATTATCGATATAAAGAATTCTCGTCTACCTGACAACCTGACATAGCTGTCATCTCCAGGATGTGTCACATTCTCTCGGATACAAAGTGTCAAGTCTATATTTAGAGAGAGTGCATACAATAAATTATTAGCTGATTTTCTATCCATCACCAGACCATCAGGCTTAAGTCAAGAAAGCACACACAAAACATTTCATTATATCAGAACCACTCCAGGACCTCCAGTTTCTTCTAGATCACGGCGCCTCAAGCCAGAATTACTTCGCGTAGCCAAAGAAGAATTTAAGAATATGGTAGAATTAGGCATTGCAAGACCCTCCGATAGTTCTTGGTCTTCATCTCTACATCTGAAAGAGAATTCGACGTGGCGTCCATGCGGAAATTATCGGCTGCTCAACTCACGCACAATTCCAGACAAATATCCTGTTTGTCATATTGCTGACTACGCCCATAATTTAGCTGGATGTACTATATTTTCAGTGATCGACTTAGTAAAAGCCTTTCAGCAAATTCCATTCCACCCTGATGATATTGCAAAAACAGCAATAATAACACCCTTTGGGCTGTTTAAGTTCCCGTATATGACTTTTGGACTAAGGACTGCAGCACAAACATTTCAGCGATTTATAGATGAGGTTACACAAGATCTGGATTTTTGTTACGCATACCTAGATGATATTCTTATATCATCTACATCGCTAGAAGAACACCAAGATCATCTCCGCCGATTATTTCAACGCCTGAAAGACCACGGCGTTGTCATAAATCCAGCGAAGTGCTTATTAGGTGCACCCAAAGTTACATTTCTTGGTTATGAAATTTCTAAAGATGGAACTTTGCCACCACCAGACCGTATCAACGATCTCCAAGAATGTCCGCTACCGGCAACCTACTCAAAGCTGCGACGCTTCATAGGAACGATTAATTATTATCGTAGGTTTATTCCTCACAGCTGAATTTCTTGCTCCGCTACACAAGCTGCTCTCAGGATCTACCAAATCTGGATCACAACCAATTTCTTGGACCCCACAGCTTCAAGATAACTTCGAGACTTGTAAGAAAGAATTGGCTAAAGCAACATTACTAGCACACCCTGTTCCAAATGCGCAAATAGCATTATTTGGCAATGTATCCAACCATTCTATCGGTGCAGTATTACAGCAGTACATCAATGGCACTTGGCAACCTTTGGGCTTCTTTTCAAAAAAAAACTATCTGAGAAACAACAACTTTGGCCAGCATATTATCGAGAACTTTTGGCTGGATACGAAGCAGTGCAAGATTTTTGAAGCTTACTGGAAGGCAGACATTTCATTTGGTTTACTGACTACAAACCTTTAATTCACACCTTTTCCCAACGAAAAGACAAGCTGCCGCCAATACAATTAAAT